GTCCTTTTCCATTAGAAGTGAAGCTTCAGGGACTTCCCTGGTGACCCAGTGGCTGAGACTCCATGCTTCCTTTCAGGGGGCCCAGGTTCAATCCATGGTTGGAGAACTGGATCCCACATATCACAACCAAGAGTCCTCATGCCACATCTAAATATCCTACATGCTACAGCTAAAGATTCCGCATGCTGCAATGAAGATAGAAGATCTGGTATGAAACAGTTAAGACCCGGTGCAGCCAGATGAGTAATAAACATTTATTAAGAAAAAAAAGTGAAGCTTCAGGAGAGCAGGGACCACAGCAGGGGAAGGAGAGGGTGGGACAAATTGAGAGAGTAGCATGGAAACATATACATTACCACCATATATAAAACAGATAGCTAATGGGAAGTTGCTGTATAACACAGGGAGCTCAACCCAGTACTCTGACAACCTGGAGGGGTGGGAAGGGGGAGGAGGAGGGTCAAGAGGGAGGGGACGAATATATACTTATAGTTGATTCATGTTGTATGGCAGAAGTCAACACAATGTTGTAAAGCAATTGTCTTCCAATTAAAATTAAAAAAAAAAGAGATCAGAGACTCTTGTTTTATTCATACCCACCATGCTTGACCCAGGGTCTGGCACATGGTAGGGAACCACAGAGGTGTGTCAAATGAACAGATGCTTCACGGTGCTCGTATCCTAAACGGAGGCAGAAGCCCAGCATTGGCTTCGAGTCATCCATTCCCTCGGCACATATTCACTGTGTCCTCATGACCCTTGGATGGAGTAAAGGTACAAAGCAGACAGGTCTTTGCTCTGGAGGAACTCCGAGCAAAGGAAATCTGTACTGAGCAGGGTTAATGCTTTGATCAAACACTGAAAATGAATAATGATAAACCTTCAGTAAAAGTGTACATAGATGGAAAGTGGAAATTATGTTAAAGGGGGCTTTGTGGGAGGTTAGACTGAGTTGAGACAGCTGTGCAGAAAAGAAGAGAGATTCTGAAGGATAGAGGAGAGTGAGAAGAAGCTTAATCAGAAAAAAAGAAAATGGGCATTTTTCAGTACAGTGATTCTGCCTGTTAGGAGGTGTGTCCACACATTGTGATTTTAATTTCTCACTGAAGTGCGGAGTAGTATCTGGAAAGTAGAAAGTGCCAAGTACCCTCCTTCATCTCCTGTGTCGGGAAAGTTCTGAGAAGAGATGTGCAGGGAAAGTGACTCAGTGGCCAGGAGAGGAGGGAACCAGGGTGTTTCAAAGAGATGGCGGAGATTTCATTAAAATGCGACTGCCTCCTTCACTTTGGAAAATTGTGGGAAGGACAGCCAAGAGGTCAGGACACCTGGCAAGCAGACATACAGTGACACAGGCTGGGAAACCAAGAGGCCAGCTTATAGCTACACAGCCCACGGTAGGTGATGGAGGTCTTGGCAATAAAAATTAAGGAACCTTGTCCAGTTGGCTTTTTCCACATAAAACCATCTCGTTCCACGTCTCTTTTCTTTGTGTTTTCATTTTTGACATGCAGGGATTCTAGAAAGCCTTAAACGAAAAGGAGGAATGAAACAGGGCTAGGAAGTGATTAATATGTGAATAAGGCTCTTGAACATGGCAGGGCTGGGCCAAAGAGTTAAGACACTTGGGAAGATGGGAGGAGGCAAGGAAGATGTGGGAAGAATAAAGTTCAGGGTCAAGGATGATGCTGCAAAATCTGGTACAGATCACCAGCTGGAGTTTGGGGAAAAGGAGATGTGGGTCAGAGAAAGACCCGGGACTAAGGAGGCTTATGAACTCAGAGATGAAAGGACAGAGCTGAAAGGTCTTCCTGAATGGGTCACCTGAGCTGGCAACCAGAGGCTGATGCATCCCCAGGGTTCAGGGGGAGCTTGAGACTCGGAGTGGGTCCAGGCACAGATGAGCCTGTGAAGAGCAATGAAGCAAAGTTTTCTTTTCTCTTGAAAAGTGCCTCTGTTGTGTTTTTGGTTTGTTTAGCTGGCTGCCCACCAGAAGGAACAAATGACAAAGATGGCCCATCTGCCTCAGAGGCAGTGTGGCCTGGTGGTTAGGCACAGCGGCTGGGGGCCCGGGAGGTTGCTGAGGACCCTCCTGGGCTCGGGGCTTCATAGTGCTGTGTCACTGACCATGGCACAGGCTCTGCTGCTCCAAGTGGTGTGTCCCCCTCCCTCACAGCGGGGGTGGTAAAGGGCTATTGTTAGCTTGAGATAAAGTAGCCTAGGCGAGGCTTTTGGTGCATCATGGCACTTAGAACCCTTTCTCAAGCCTCAGATGCAGTTTTCCTTTGGTATTTTAACATCTCTGATACTAGGATGTGCAGCATTGATTTTTTAGTGGTACGTAAAATGCAGTTTATGGTGCCTGAGATTTGATCTGGAAGCAGACAGCCAGTCAGCGGCAGTGGGGGTGTTCTGTGTCATTCCCCCTTGGCCAGACTCATGGTTCTGTCCACATCTTGGGGTCCCCTCTTCTCTCTGGACTGATTGAGCCTTTTCCCTGGGGGGCAGTTGGGCTTCCCTTGTAGCTCAGTCGGTAAAGAATCTGCCTGCAATGCAGGAGACATGGGTTCGATTCCTGGGTTGGAAAGATCCCCCGGAGAGGGAAATGTCAGCCCACTCCAGTATTCTTGCCTGGAGAATCCCATGGACAGGGAGCCTGGCAGGTTACAGTCGAGGGGGTTGCAAGAGTTGGACACGACTGAGCGACTAACACGGACGGCACCCGGGGGACAGGAACCTGGGCCCTGCAGTCAGGCCTGCTGAAGGCAAGGCTTGTCTTGGCTACTGCTCTCTGTGCGACCCACGCTAAGCAACGTTCCCTCTCTGAGCCTGTTTCCTCTGCTCTGCAAGGGAGAAATACTACCTACATTCATAGGGTTATCAGGTGAGGATAAGAGGAGACAAAGTTTATATAAATTGCTTGCTTATCTCAGTGCTACATTGGATAAATGTTAGATGATGATACAAATAAACAATGTTACCTTAGGTAGCAAAGTTATACTTTGTTACAAGTGTTACTATTCCTGAGGTATCTTGGGAGCCCCACACAAACATTCATCTCAGACTCTCAATGGGAGGGATCTCAGAACCCAAATCCATCCTGCCCTGTGATGGTGGCTGAGGTGCCACCTCCCACTGCCTCACCTGGAACCCTGCTCCCACTTCCTGCCCTGCTCCTTTCTCAGCACTCCCCTGCACTGCCCTCAGGACTCTGGAGTCATTACTTCAGGAACTGTTTTTCTTGGGAAGTGGGCTGGCTCGCTCCCTCCTTGGGAAAGACCACCCCAAACCCTGGCTGGGATTTTGTCAAGCAGTTAATCACCCGAGACCTCCCCCAAGAAGACTCTTCTGGATGGCTTCATCTTTCCGTCTCCTCTTAAGTGCCCTGACTCACTTCACAAAGCTGTCTGCCTCTGTCCTTGCTGGCATCCCCTACCCTAAATGTAAATACCATATTTTTCTCAAAACTTCTTACCTCTGCTTAATGAGTCTTATGTATCAGAATCAATCATGCTTTACATTTATAACATTTGTAACTCATGCACCCAGAGCCTCCCCAGGTCTTCAGATCCCCACTTGGTCTCTCCCATTCACAGCTCTCCATGGTCCTGAGGGCATCGCACAGCCTTCCTCTTCAAGTGCCACAAGCAAGCCTTTCCTTGTGGGGGAGGCTACAGAGCCTCATGGAGAGATAGGTTTGGCCAGTTCCTTTCTTGAGCCCTCCTAATCTTCCTCATCATTTTTCTGCACAGAAGATAGAACTAATGGCTTTTCCCCAGCCTAGCTCTTTGGCAAGCCCTTCTCTTTTGAGGTGAGACACCCCACTCTAACCCTGCCCCTACCTTGCAATCTGCCTTATGCTACCTTTTATAACTGGCCTGCCTCTTTGCACCAAACCCAGGGGCAGGAAACTCAAGACCTGTGCCTGTACCTTGGCTGGGGGATTCCAGGGTAACACAAGCCTCTCAGGTACGGAATGGCATAGATAAAAACCTCAGACTTTGTCAATGAAACAGCCACTGGCTCCCCCTCAAGATCTTTATCAGGGGGCTGGATCTGGAGGAGCATGGTGGGCCTGCCCCTCTGGGAAGCTGTGGAATCTCTAGTCTTCACTGCATTGGTAACAGAATGACTCTCGTGGTCTTAAGGAGTGTGTCCCAAATGTCTTGGCTTCTCAAAACTGGTTTCTGCTGCCTTAAAAATCTTCTGGACAGGGTGCCGTGTGCTGAAAAGGATGGGGCAGATGTCACAAAATGCAGCAGCGGCCACATGGCATCGAGTTAGGAGAAAGCACAACACATTAGACACAAATCCCCACGTTTACTTCTTTATCAGTCTGTTTGACTGCCTGCCTGTCTGTACATCCTCTGATATGTTTAGAGAAGGACATGTGGCATATAAGCCAGGATATGAATGAAGCTGAGGGTGGTGTATAAAGGTGTCTGTAGGATAGTGAGATGAGGAGCCTCAAGAGCACCCTCCCCGGAGTCCCTCCCAGGCCATGGGAGGGGCAGACAATAAGAAGGCAGGAGTGATGCCCTCCCACTATCGACCGTCCCACACTGCAGTGTGTCCTTCTGGGGGCTCTGAGAGGTCAAAGTGTCTAATACTGTCAGACTTCAGAGCCCAGGGCTCCAAACCTTCCTGAAGGTTCTGTGGGGTTAGCTCCTACCTCGCTCATCCCAGAAAGGAATGGAGGAAGCTCCCAGCTGACTGGTGGCGGCTGCGTGTCCAGCCGTCCGGGAAAGCGGCCCCTTCGCCTCCCCAGCCTTCCCGCCGTGGCTCTCCCCTCTGGCCCAGCTCCCAGGATGTGGGATGCCAAGCGGTGCCCGCCTCCTCCCCCCACTCCCCACCTCCCGCCTCGCTCACAAAGGCAGGTCTGTCTGGAGCTGAGCAGGGCAGGCCCACGGGTAGGGCTGGTGCTCCACACCACACCCTTTCCTTACGGAAACGGACAGGTCTAGTCCAGGGGAGAGGGTGTTCCCCTTGTGGAATACCTCCTCTCAGGCTCAGCAGAGGCAGCGGGTGTGTGTAAATGGGAAGTTCTCTGCTTTGGATGTCTGGGCAAAAGACAGCTGTGAGTGCAGCACGTCACCACCCAAGCCAAGTCAGAGTAAATGCTCCTGCATTCAACAAGCCGCCTTCTAATCCTTTGCTCCTGAGTCAGTCAAAAATGTTTACTTTGCTTTGAAAATGGCCTGCATTTCCTAGCTAATACGTGTAAGAGAAGATGCTGCCACTCAGCATTGTGCTTTTGCCCAGTGATTGTGACTTGCAGTAATGACCTTGAGAAGACTGCTCTGGGCTTCACTGTCTCCGTTCACTTAACTGCACTACACCTACTAAGGGCCCACACATACTACCATTAGGCACCTGGACTTGACCGGACACTGCAAGGGAATAAAGGTCTAAGCATAAGCTCTGAGGTCTGGCTTCCTGGACTTAAGTCCAGAGAGTCAGTTCACCTCTCGGAGCATCAGGTTACTTGACCTGTGGTAGCCCCCACCCCACATTGTTCATTATGAGGGTGCAACAAGGTAACATGAGTAACTTCACTTAGCACAGCACCTGGCACATCTGATCTCTGTAGCTGTTATTTTGTTACCGTTATTCAGGATAAATAAGACAAGTTCCCTGTCCTTTGAGGGAGGGTAAGAAGGAACATCATAAGTAAGGCAGACTGGTAAGTGCTATGATGAAGGTGCTAGAGACTGGAAGGGGAAGAGGTCCAGGGAGGATTTAGTGGAAGCTGTGGCAGGTCAGACACAAGGACAAACATCTTCAACAGAGGCCCGAGTGTGGGCAGGTGGAGGCGGTCTGGTCCCAGCATGAGTGAGTGGGGCTGCAGGGCCAGGGCGTGCACACTAGTTTGCAGGTCAGTGAACGCTAGTTTGGAGTCACACCAGAGAGGACCCCGAGTGGTGCCACCTGAATAGTGTAGACTTCTATCTGCAAGTGATGGGCAGTCAGTGGAGATCTTTGAGAAGGGAATTAGAAAGATGTTTCTGGTAACATTTTATGGGAAAATCTTGGTGGAGGCGGGGAGGGCTGGGCACTGAGGCCAAGGGACACTTTTTCTGTGTTTCCATCTCTGAAAATTCACTAGTCTTCTAGTCCTTGCTTAATATTCATCTTCTTTACTTGACTACAAGGTCATCTAGGACAAGAGCCATATGCTTCCTTCACACAGCTCTACCCCCCAGCAAAGTCCCCAGTGCTTCATAGATAGCTGTTGAATTGAAATAGACAAATGATCTGAAACTCGAGCCTTGAGAGTAGAGGGAAGGGATGGTCTAAAGTCACTTGAGGAGGAGCATGAAGAAGATTTGGCAAATGCCAGGAACTCAGCAAAGGAATAATTAGATAGCATAGGACATGGTGGGGAAGATGGATGAATGGATGGAAGAATGGACAGAATCAGGAGAAGCCTGGTCAGTGAGGCAGGTACCAAGTGCCTGACAAAGTAGGCTGCTTCCCAGGGGTGCAACACCATCTATTCAGAGCTGGGTGTTGGGCAGGCCTTGGACACGGGGCTCTGGGGAGAAGCCAAAGTTGGAGGCAGATGCGGGAGGGTCAGAGATGAGGGGAGAGATGGGGATCTTCAAGGGAGAAGGACCCAGAGCCTGAAAAGAGAGGTGGACAGAGGCAGCTACCCCGGGGGACATCCCACATTCTCAAGAGATCCCTAGTGCGGCCAGTGATCTCAGAGGAAAAGTCGCAGGGGACTGGAGGCCAGAGGCTACAGGATCACAACGTTCAGCGGGAAAGCTGGCTCTGGGCCACACCGTTCAAAGCTGCTGAGAGGTTAAACAGATAGAAAACAGAAGCCAGAACCTCGAGATTGGTCTTGTGGCATTGCTGTGCCAGTCACTTCTTCCAGTCTTCTAAAGGAAAATACGTACTCACCAACCCTCCCATTACCAGAACCTTCCATCGCTCCCCACTTCCCAAACATTAAGGCCCTTGGCAAAGGGTTTCTGTGACCCCCTAATCTTGCCTGGAAGCCTCACATCACTGTCGCACGTCCAGGCCTTCTTGAGTTGGTTCATGCTATTCCTTCAGCCTGAAAGGGCCTTCCCTTCCAGTCTCTTCTAGCTAAAATTCTTCTTACCCTTCAGGACCTACATCACATTGCACCTCCACTGCAAAGCCTTCGCTAGTATCTCCAGTAGAAAGGGTCCTTCCTTTGAGGACCCATGGTGCAGTGCTTTGCCTAGCGATTCTTCCATTCCTTCTAAGATTCCATCCAGTTGTTGGCTTGTCTCTCCCCTTCACTGGATTATGACATCATGAGAGCAGAAGATGTATCTTGTCTTTGAACATTCTGTGGCTTGATCTCTTATGCACAGAAGGGACTCAGCCAATGCCAGCAAAACATATGGAGAAATGAATGTCTGAGGACAGTAGATGCTGGCTGTTCCAGTTGAAAATTGTTACAGGGCCTAGGAGTTGTTTGACTTCAGGGCTTGGCCCTGCAATTAAAATCTTGGCCCAGCATTAGGTTGCCTTACAACCAGATGTGCTATCTGTGATCTCTAGAGTCATTTTGATATTGTAGATACATTATTATAGATACACTTAAGATTTTCCTGAGCATTTCCCATATTTAGACAAAGATGGAAAAACTTGGCCTGGTCATCAGAAGTGCTTTATCACTTATGTTCCCCTTGATGGCGATTTAGAGTAATCCCTACACAATTCCATGAGGATCATAAACATATTTCAAGAGCCATGAATTAGGAGGAGAAAGTTTCCCAACACTCAATTTACAGACTCAGAAAGCATCTGTTCATTTCATCATCTGTCATCTTCAGCCCCTCTGAATAGGCTCTGACAGTATTTAGATAAAATGAATATAATGATTTTGCGACAGCTTGTTATTTGTAAGGAAAACATGTATTCAATAAATATATTCAACAAAGTTCAACAAGCACCTACTATGTGCCAGTTGTGTGTCTTTCTTAGACAGTGTATGAGTTGGATGCTTTCTGTAGTCTGTGTTTTAGGGGTTAGATATTCTCTGTTTTGTTATATAAAACTGAGAGCAATTTAGGACTGATATAGACAGTCCTGCTTTTTTTGGTCAGCTTTGTTTTTATTTTAGGATAGACAGTTACAAAACACAGCTGGCAAAATGGAAAGAAAAGCTACATTCTTTATGCAGCTGTGAACAACAGATTTTAAATATCTCTAATCCAGCAGACCTAGTTCTTGGCAAGGGAAGGAAAAAGAGTTAATTGTTTTTTACCACTTTAGGCTTTCACACTCACACACATGTGTGCACATGCATATCCAAAGAGTAAAAAGGCAGTGAAGCCAGAGGGTATGTTGAGTGCTTTTAAAATTCTTTTTCCATGGATCTTGTAGTGTAGGCTGGGAAGGAGTTTCCCAAAGAACTAACCTTGTAAGGAAAGCCTTCCTCTGCCTTTGTAATAATAAAAATCACCTTCTCCTGAGCATTTGTCCTGTGCTAGGCAGGTGCCCGAAGAGCATTACCTGTTTTATTATATCCTCTGAGGTGTGTGCCATCCACACACACAAAATGAGGCTCAGAATGATGAAACAGGTCGCAAAACTGGTTAGGCATGGAATTGGAATTTAAATCTAATTGTCTAACTTTAGGGCCCACATTTAGCCACAACTGGGATTTTCCTTAACCCATCTCCACTGTGGCAGAATAGCACCAAAACATACTTGAGAGGTGAATAATGACCAGACTTGGGGAAATGGGGAACATTCCAGATGACATCTCCCCATCTTTAAATGATTCCAAAGGACAGATGTAAGAAATGTGGTTGCCCTGCACAAAAGAAGAATCCTAAAAATAGGGGTCTTTCTCTTTTTTCTATTTAAATATGTATTGCTCTTTCCTCCTTAACAGTAATAGAGCTATGCTTAAATGTTTTTGTAGAAGGATATTCAATATGGCATTATTAATAATAGTGACAATGAACTGAGTATCCAATAATAAAGGACTCATGAGATTATAGAGGAGTACACTGCCACCATTAAAAAATCTGTTTCAGAACAGTCTTGAGTGGAGGACACCCATGGTATGTTGCTAAATGAAAAAGTAAGTTAAAAGTCTATAAAGACAATATGATCCCATTTTGTTTCACACACACAGAGAAAAAGACAAATAGAGACACACAAACACAGAAAGAGAGACACACCAACACAGACATATATATAACACAAGAAAAGAACTGGGAAATTATCAATATTTTAACTGTGATTATCTCTTGATGATGGGTAAACTTTTATTTTCTTAAATTGTATTTTCTGGTATTACTTCCATTTCCTATACTGAAATATATTAATTATCTAAGAATAATTTTTTAAGTAGTGCATACTCGTTAACTCAACAACTTCATTATATAAACAGTTTTTGAGAATCCACTGTGTCCTAGACTCAAAACATTAAAAAAAGAAAAACAGAAAGAAAGCAAAGTTACTCATACCTTTGTTCACTGGCTCTTTGGATGATCTCCTTCACCTTGTTTTCTGTGCTGCATTGAAAGCATAATGGTGACCAAAGCAGAGAGCTACCAAGCCCTGGGACAGTTAGGAGTCCTGCCAATAGAGATTGAACAGCCTCTGGGCCCTGACTTGGCTGCTTCTACTACCAGACATCATTTCACTTCCCTCTAAGTCTCAGCTCCATCATCAGTAAAAAGGATGGAGAGTGGTACCTACGTCATCAACCTTTTGGAGGATTAACTGAGTTACAAGTAAGTGCTTTGAAGTAGACAACAATTAATAGCTCTTATTACTGTTACTGTGTAGAATGGCTGCATTGCTCTTCTGTTTTCCATCTCCTTTCTTCCAAAGAGTGTAACATAGTTGTATTGCTCTTGGAGAGAGGGACCACTTCCTAGGTCTTTTTTGAAAATTTTATTTATTTATTTATTTTAATTGGAGGATAATTAGTTTATGATATTGTGATGGTTTTTGCCATACATCAACATGAATTGGCCCCAGGTATACATGTGTCCCCTCCAACCCGAAGCCCCCTCCCATCTCCTTCTTTTTAGGTCATTAAGACCTAGGACTTCCCTGGTGGCTCAGAGGTTAAAGCGTCTGCCTACAATGCAGGAGACCCGGCTTCAGTCCCTGGGTTGGGAAGATCTCCTGGAGAAGGAAATGGACATCCACTCCAGTATTCTTGCCTGGAAAATCCCATGGACAGAGGAGTCTGGTAGACTACAGTCCATGGGGTCATAAAGAGTTGGACACGACTGAGCGACTTCACTTTCACTTTCTTTCAAGGCTTATAAAGTCACCTTTGAGTTTTGTCTGTGGTCAGATCACTCAGTCTGAGCCATTTTCAGGCAAAGCTATAAATGACAGAGGAGCTGCCATGGTTTAAAGAAAAAACAGAGTATTTTTATATCTTTCAGAAAATCTTGGGAGCCAATGTTGGACAAAGATCTTACTTAATTGTGTTTGGAAACCTCATGAATGTGGCTCGGTACAGGCATTACGATAGCTAAACTCGTGCTTATTCTCACCAACCCTGTGACTTTGGGCCTTGGTGCTCTGTTTTGTCTTCTCAGCTCTGTTATTGTGTGAGCTGTTTGGAGAGAGGATGTCTAGTAGTGGGCTCTTTCCTGTTGGAGCCAGCCTGTTTCTGGTTGTGGCCCTGTTTCAGCCTCCCCATCTCCTTTCTACATGACTCCCAGACCTCCTAACTCAGACCCCTGCCTTCCCTCCACCCATCTTAGAATCAAATCTCCACTCAGGATCAAGTGAGGGTCTTAACTTGTCCATTGTTGCATGTCACCTCTAATGCTAATCCCCCAGTTATTTTCAGAGCATTTAGAATAAAGCCCTAGCTCTTTGCTTGACTCCAGGTTGTACATGATCTGGTTCTTACACACCTCTCCAACCTCATATTGACCCATTCCTCCACTGTTTGTTCTTCGTGAGGTATCCTGGCCTCTGCTGGAGTCTAGAACACATGAGTTCTTGTCCACCTTGGGGCTTTATCTCAGGTTCTTCCTTCCATGAAGAATAGTCTTCATCCCTCCTCTTGGCATGCCTGGAGCCCCTTAATCCTTCTGATCTTTGCTTCTGTGTCACCTTGGAGAGACTTTCCCTTTCTACCTAATTTGTAGCAGCTTCTCTTGTTCTGGGACCTTGTTCGTTCCGTTTGTATATCTTAACACGGTTTTTACTTATTTCTTTTTGTTGACTTACTTGGGGGTGTGTGTGTGTGTACACTGTTTGCCATTCCTCTGCCTCATTAGAATGTAAACTTCTCAAGGGTAGGGACCGAGGCAGGGCCCTTCATGGAGGAGGCACCCAATATATAGGGAAGGAGGAGAGGGAGGGAGTCTCTGAAAAGTGGGATGCTTCTCCAGGCAGCCCAGTTTCCCGTGAACGTGGGCAGCGTGTGCTGCTCAGCCCTAGCATTACTGTGCAAGTTTAAAAATAAAATCCCTGGGTGGAGTGAGAAACCTTTAAAGAGGATGGGGGAAAGATAATGAGAAACAGAAGCTGGTCAACACAGGCCCAGCAGGATGTGGGACTGGCCAGGAAGAGAAAGGGACCCTGACTCCAAGAAAATACTGCGAGTCTGATGAAGGTAGGACTCTGCGTTAGGTACTAGAGGTCTTCCTCTTAGTCGACAGTGGATGAAAGACTTTAACCGTTTCAGGCTGCGCTCCATCCCAGAGCGAGATGTGTTTAGAGTCTTTTTTTTTTTTCTAAGAGCTACTCTTCACAGTTCCTAGAACAGAGGCCTCCACACCCCAGTTCTGACTGCCATGCTGTCAGAAGAAGGAATAGCAGGAGGTTACAGGGAGGTGATGAGGCCTGCTTTGGCTCACTCTCCCCGTGACCTTCCCCAGGGCCCCTCCCAGCGTGGGATCTGAACCTCCCACCACAGTCGGGCCCTGGCCAGGCAACCCAAGGTATAGCCACCCTCCACAGTCTTGGCTCACTTCTGGGGATGTGCAAGGCGGGGAGGGCCAGGTCAATGGGTCGCTAGAAACAACTCGGACGTTGCCTTGGAAACCCGTTTCCCCCACTTGCACTGTGTGCGTTTGGATCCACCCTGAACCAGCTGTGTATTAAATCTTCTGGCCGCAGTGGGAGGTAGTCATGTGGAGGAAGGTCAGAGTGTGTCAGGAAGGGGTCCACCTCTGTGATGGGAGACCATCGATCTTCGGGTCTTAGTGAGAGGTCTGACGACCCAGGAGAGCCATGGGCTGAAAGTCCATACTCCGGGCCTGGTCTCTGTGGTGCAAGAATGGGCCGGGCTGAGTGTGGGGGCTGCCAGCATCCCCTCCTCCAGACTGTGGCCTGGACCCCTTCCCGTAATCCATCTCTGTGCTGCTCCAGAAGCCAAGTGATGTGCTCACGGTCACCTAGTGCAAGCGAGTGTTTGCAGACCTTTACAGCGTTGATCACGAGGGGGTTTTTCCATAATCCCTGCTCTGTGATGGTCAGGAGGGCCATGAAGGAAATTAGCAAATATAGAGACAGATGGAGCTTTCCATGTCCCCTCACAACCTCTGCTCCGCCCTCTAGAGATGACCTCTTGTGAAGAAGGAAGCCAAGGCCCAGAGAGGACCGGTTCTCACCCACAGTCACTCAGGAGGCAAGATGGGGCACTGGGTAGCCTAGGTGCAAGATAACTGTGCGCTTCACAGCCTGCAGCAGGCCCTTCTGTTCACTCTGCGTTTAGTCTTCAAATGTGTTCAACTCAAAGCCCAGGGTCAGGGGACATAGAGGAAAAGTTTGAAAGTACCCGAGCACCAAGGAACCGCAGGTACCCTGGAGGGGTGGGGATCCCACAGCATTTTGGGGAATGGTGCTAAAGGAGCCTTGCTAAAGTTGAAGCTTCTTTGTTTGTTGCAAATTCCTACAGCTTAAAACTGCTGAAGAGAGAGGCTTGTCTGCTCCATGCTTGAACTCTTTAAAGGGGCTGTTGCTTTCTTGGCTAGTTCTAGGTTCCTGATGTGTGAATTTTAAGTGCTGAAAGAGCACAGGGTGATAATTGTCCCTTGGAACAAAGAAGACTGACAGGGGAACAGCAGATGACCTTCATGTTCCCAGATCTTTTTTTTAGTTCAGTTACATTCTTAGGTTTCCTGAAAACCTTAGCCAGACTGCAAAGTGTTGGTAGCAATAATAATTAATATTTTATTGATCAAACACTGTGTGCTCTGCATTATGTACTGAAACGTTTTTGTCTCACTGACATCTTAAATCACCTCTGTGAGGGAGTAACAGCTAATGCTGATAATAAAACACACTTTCTCAGACTTCACCTGTATAAATTCACAGAGTCCCGTCAACAACCCTTGGGTGTGGGTGCTGTTATTATGTCTCTATTTCAGAAGTGGAAAGGTTACAGAATTGGATCAGAGCCTTGCAGCTCTTGTGTATCAGAACCAGAATCCAAACCCAAGCAGTCCTGCCTGCCCCAACTGTTACACTCCTATCCTCACGCCCTGCACACTGTCACTCTGAAATAAGAAAAGGATGATGAGAGAGATGGCCCAGAAATGGAGGCATCAGGAGAACTCTTGGTCTACCACCTCAGCTCCCTTTCCAATGAACTTAGGACACTGCCTCCCGAGTCTTCAGCAGAGACATCCTAGGATCAGCCTTGGAAAACAGCAGCTCATTCTGTGTGGCCAACCAAGCAGGGGTTTTACCCTTGGGAGGAAACCATCCTGAGGCTGACCTGCATCTCTGTCCCAGAAACATCCCCATTAGCATTTCAAACAAGAAAAACCAATGGAGGCTTAAGGAAGAACATTTTGCTCCTTGAGCCTAAACACCACCTTAGCCCTGAAGTCAAAGAAAGGAGCCAGGGCCATGCCAACCTTGAACTCTGAACCAGGGACATGCTCTCCCGGGACTGCATCTTGCCGTGTAGACTCCAGGGAGTGACTGCAGTGGTCATTCCCAGCTTTCCTCCAATTGCCATTTTGAAATACGGACATGGATTCTGAGGAAGAACAAGCACAGCCTGGTTTTCGAACAGCTCTTTGTGTCCCCGGTGGTACTGAAGCTGTACTTTGTGCTCACTGATTAATTGGTGCAGACACTGCTTCTGCCCCTGTGGGCCTGGTGGCCAAGGTGGGGGTGAGTGGCTTTGTCCACTCCTCCCTGGGTGCGAGGGCAGGAATGTGCTGGATCAATGTCACCCTTCTGGGTGCCTGACATCACTTGTTTGCCTTTGATGCCCATCAGCCAAAAGGAGTTATTCATCTCTGAGCATGAATAACACAAACAGGCTGGATTTTTCCAGGCTTCCAAAGTGAGTTCTCTGAAGAGACAAGATTATGCACCCTAGGCCAGAGCAGCTGACGCAGAGCATGGGGTTCTGGGGGCTGTGAGGGGCCTGCTCACCCAAGTCAGGATCTGAGGCCCCGAAGCACACTTGGTAGCACTGCTTTCAGATGTAATGTGCTCCTTCCTAGAGCTATGAGGAGTGACAGAGGCTGGGTGGTCCCACTGCTGTCCTTGGTTGTGGCTTTTCCACTCCCAAGATTGAACCAGTCGCTCATTTATTGAGAACGTTCTATGTGGCTCAGCTCTGTTCTAGACACTGGGGATACAGCAGGGAAGAGACAGACAAGGCCTACCCACCTGAGGCTTACCTTCTAGTGGGGAGGATGGATCAAAGCAAACTTTAAAAAAAAATTGACATGATGATACAGACTGGGGTCAGTGCCATGAAGGAAATAGAATAGGGAGTAACAGGAGAGAAAGCCTCTTTAAGGAGCTGACCAGAGAGATGAGACCTGAAGGACAACAAGGTCTGCTATGTAAAGAACAGCAGGGAAGGTACTCCAGGCAGATGGAACAGCAATTGCAAAGTCCCAGAGGCAGGAAAGGGCGTGGAATGGCCGAGGCGTGGGAGAGAGGCCAGTGGGGCTACAGCCTGTGGGGGATATGAGAGGAGTGGGAGGATCTTGTCCCCACGAGGCCCCCCAGCTGCTCTCACCTTCCTGAAAGTCTCCTCTCTTCTCCACAGTGGACTCCACTTGCCCCAGGGACTCATCCTTGCTAAGCCAAGTCTGTCTCCTCTGCTGGAAGGAAACGGAAGGGAATCCTTTTGTGTCTGTCAGGACACATGGCAAAGGCATGGCGTTTAGTTTGACATCAGGACTCATGGTTTATGTCAACAGTGGCTGGCATCGATGAGAAGTTTCTGAATGATGGGAATGGTGTGTGTGTGTCTGGTAGGAAAGACATTTGAGAGGGCTACAAACTCCAAGCTGGAATTCCCATTGCCACAGACCTATCTTTCTGCTTCTCATGTGAAATCCTGAATAAAGCACATTTTGGTTTTAAGTCCTTTGTACTCCTTTATATTCTCTGCCTATTTTCATACCCGTGTCTGCCCACTTCCACCCTTTGCCTCAAGGGGTCTGCCTGGGTTTCTTTGCCCCCACTTCTTGCCCCTTCACAACTTGAATCTCAACCATTCTCCACAGCCCTGCGGAATGAGCCTGCTGACTGCTGACCTGTTCCTGTAGCTTCAAGAAATGTTCAGCAGGCAAAGGAGAGGTTACATTCATGAGACCTCTGTGTATCCTTTAAGTGATGCCAAAGAAGATTGGGCTTGGCTGCCTGGTCAACTCCAGTCTGAGCCTGGCCTGGCTCCCAAGGTCTTGAATTAACCTCATCAATGGGAGACAATAATCCCTATTTAGACTTTAAAATGCTGCACTCAGTATGTCAGCAAATTTGCAAAACTCAGCAGTGGCCACAGGACTGAAAAAGGTCAGTATTCATCCCAATCCCAAAGAGGGGCAATCCCAAAGAATGTTCAAACTACTGTACAGTTGTGCTCATTTACATGCTAGTAATGTTATGCTCAAAATCCTTCAAACTAGGCTTTAGCGGTACATGAACCAAGAACTTCCAGATGTACAGGCTGGATTTTGAAGAGGCAGAGGAACCAGAGATCAAATTGCCAACATGCATTGGATCATGGAAAAAGCAAGGAAGTTCCAGAAAAACATCTACTTCTGCTTCATTGACTATGCTAAAGCCTTTGACTGTGTGGATCACAACAAGCTGGAAAATTCTTAAGAGATGGGAATACCAGACTACCTTACCTGTCTCCTGAGAAGCCTGTATGCAAGTCAAGAAGCAAAAGCAACAGTTAGAACCAGACATGGAACAACAGACTGGTTCCAAATTGGAAAAGGAGTATGACAAGGCTGTATATTGTTACCCTGCTTATTTAACTTCTGTGCAGAGTACATCATGTGAAATGCTGGGCTGCATGAATCACAAGGTGGAATCAAGATTGCTGGGAGAAATATAACAACCTCAAATATGCAGATGATACCACTTGTAATGTCAGAAAGCCAAGAGGAACTAAAGCTTCTTGATGAGGGTAAAAGAGGAGAGTGAAAAAGCTGGCTTAAAACTTAACATTCAAAAATCTAAGATCATGGCATCTGGTTCCATCGCTTTATGGCAATTAGAAGGGGGGAAAGTGGAAGCAGTGACAGGCTTTTTTTCTTGAGCTCCAGAATCACTGTGGATGGTGGCTGCAGCCATGAAATTAAAAGATTCTTGCTCCTTGAAAGTTATGATAAACCTAGATAGCATATTAAAAAGCAGAGACATCACTTTGCTGACAGAGTCCATATAGTCAAAGCTATAGTTTTTCCAGTAGTCATGTACAGATGTGAGAGTTGAACCATAAAGGATGCTGAGTGCCGAAGAATTGATGCTCTTGAATTGTGGTGCTAGAGAAGACTCCTGAGAGTCCCTTGGACTGCAAGGAGATCAAACTAGTCAATGCTAAAGGAAATCAACCCTGAGTATTCATTTTAAGGACTGATGCTGAAGCTCCAACACTTTGGCCACTTGATGCGAACAGCCGATTCATTGGAAAAGACCCTGATGCTGGGAAAGATTGAGGGCAAGAGGAGAAGGGGGCAGCAGAGCATAAGATGGTTAGATAGCATCACCGACTCAATGGACAAGAATTTGAATAAACTCGGAGATAGTGAAGGACAGAGAAACCTGCCGTGCTGCAGTCCATAGGGTCAAAAAGAGTCAGACACAACTTAGCAACCAAACAACAAAACAGTGAGGCCATGATGAACACCTAAAACATGCTGTTGAGGGGACCATGGCTAGAACACTATTGGGGAAGGGTCTGGAACTTTATTCCCTAATGGAGATGTACCCAACACTAAGTTTATGAGCTCAGGAAGCCTGCTGTCTTCCTTCGGGGCTGACCTACTGTTGAATCACGCCATCAACTTCTCTGCCCTTTGTTGAAATCAGAGTTTACCCTGCAGAGGATTGCCTCCTTCTCTGGCTTTCTGTGGCTCTCAGCAAAGGACCTAAATCCTCAACATGGCCACCACGGTTCAGCCTCCATCCATGCCTCTTCTTCCCTGCCTCCTAGCCGCACAGCCTCCCCTCCACTCCTTGGTGAAGCCACATTTCTCTCACCATGTGATCTTCCCTCATGCTCCGCCTGTAATAGAGCGAGGACTGAGTGCAGCCCTTAGCACACAGCCAACCCTCTGTGCTATTACCCTGAACCCTGTTACCAGGCAAGGGTTACCATGGGCCCATTGGTCTTGCCCAGCCATTGGTTGGCAGAGCAGTGGGCCCTTCCCCCAATCAACCAACTGGCAACAAGCAACCCTTAGTGTCCTGTTCAGTCATTGGTTGGTGCCGGTGGGCCCCGCCCACAAGCTATCAACTGTCGGTGAGCGGCCGTTAGTGAAGCAATTCAGCCAGAGGTTGGTGGAGTGGTTGTCGTCAGGAGTAGAGTGAGGTAAGAAGGGGATCTCGGCCTCCTCCGGGAGGCCCTTCGGCTCACCCAGCCTTGGTCCAGCAGGTGAGTTGGGGGCTCGGGGAATAGGCGAGGGACTGTGTCCTCACCAAGGCCACCCACTGGCTGTGAGGCAGCCAAGCGTGAACCTCTCCTCCACTCCCACCTCTGTTAAGGAATGGCTATGGCAGTCTCCATGGGACAGTCTGTGGGTTCGCTCTCGCCCCCACCTCCCACCCCCTCGGTTTGGGCGGCCTGAGGAGCCTGAGGGTCACTGGGTCCTGTGCACCAGGCTCTCGCAGTGATGATGGCTGGACAAGGTCTGGGCACCTGGCCCTGAGGGAGCTGCAACTCAGCTCTGCCTCCTTTTAGCCAATATCTGGACCTTGGAGGAGGAGGAAGAGGAAAGTTGGGACCTGGCCCTTGTCAGAATAGAGAATAATATTTATTTGTTAAGAGATTTACAGGAACATGGTTACCTGACAATGACCTGACCTCCAGAACAAAGGATCTGACACCAAGAAATTTGCAACAGCTAACCATGCCCCTCCTTCACCTTTCCTAGAAAATGGCTTTGCTGAAAGCTTTTGGGGAATTTGGGTTTTTTAAAGCATGAGTTACTCATATCCTTGCATGGCCTTGCAGTAAACCTTTCTCTGTTCCAAACTGACGTTTTGGTATTGTTTGGCCTCACTGTAGTTTGGGCACATGGACTTGCGTTTTTGGTAACATTCTCTCCACCTGAAACGTTCAGCCCTTACCCATCAGACCCCTGCCCATCCTCCAGATCTTATCCCAAGCGTCACCTTGTCACTGAAGCTTTTCCAGACACCCTGACTTGGTCCAGCATGCTGCCCTATGCTTTCAGGGGGAACACTCAGGAGAATTCATGCAGGGTGGATGTCAATGGCCCCACCTAGCCTCTTGCTTTCATGCAGGTAGGAACTGTTGGTCCCAGTCTCTGTGGCCTGCTCCTGGCACACAGGAGGGCCCCACGAGTGAACCTCCTGACCTGGACTGCTCAGGAGTGGACTCCAGGCTGCCTGTCCTGGTCTGCACCCTCTCCTCTTTCTCTGGGTCTTCCTGTCTTCTTTTTTCTTTGCTTTTCCTTCCCTTCTTCCTATCCATCCTTTCTATCCATTCCTTCTTCCTTCCTTGGCCTCGGGCTTACCTGTGGCTCCCCAGAACACTATTTAAGTCAACAGAAAAGCACTCAGAGTTAAAGAAATAGTTGCCACAACTTGGCAGGGTGTATTGGTCAACTAGATCACCCCAGACCCAGGGCCTCAAGAGGAGATCTGTTTCCTACTGTGATCATTTTCTAAGGCTGCTGTAACAAGACTGTTACAGAGACTGGGTGGTTTAAACACAGAAATTTCTTGTCTCACAGTTCTGAATGCCAGAAGTCCAATTTCAAGGTATTTGCAGGGTTGGTTTCTCCTGAGCACTGTGAGGAAAGGATGTGGTCCAGGCCTTTCTTCTTGACATGTAGAGGGTTATCTTCTCCCTGTGTTTTGTCATGTCCTTTTCCCTCTGTGTGTGTCACTGTGGCTTAATTTCCCCTTTTTAAAAGGAGACCAGTCATACTGGATTAGAATCCACCCTAATGAACTCATTTAAACTTGATGACCTCTGTCAAGACATTGTCTCCAAATAAGGTCACATACTGAAATACTGGGGGTTAGGACTTCCATCTATGAATGGCAGGGGGGACACAGTTCAACCCATAACTACTACCTTCCAACTACCCATTGTCCCCACCCTTTTTGGCTTATTGAATGAGATAAAAAGAGAGAACAACAAGGATACATCATCTTCTGAAGAAATTATGTGGGAGTCTCGGGATGGGGGAGGACAAGATAGGAATATGAAGAGGAGAAAGACACTGAAGGGTGAGAAAAGAGGGTTGAACTGACAAATAGCTAAAACTACCCTCACACATTTGCGAGGCGCTCCATGGCTATGCTGTGGAGATCTGTGGGGCCTGGGTTCCTATCCGAGATCTGCCACATACCAGCAGTGAGGTCTTTCCCCTCACTTGTGAAATGTGATGATAATAGTACCTAACTTATGGGATGGTTGTGAAGGGCTTAGCACTGTGCCCAGCACCTGATAATTAGTAGCAGTAGGTGGGCTGTTACTGTTGTTCCCACAGTGTAGGTTTAGCCTAAGTAAAACGGTGGTTCAGGAAGAAGCCCAAGTCAAAAAAGAGGCTAATTGCCACTGATTCAGGCCACATGACTCTGTTCTCATTAAAAGCAATGAAGATGGAACCAGAGCAACGGTGAGCCCTGGGCTTCTTCAGCTGTGACCTGTCAACCGAAGGCATCAGAACCAGCTGGGCCCTACCCAGGAAATGCAGAATCCTGGGCCCCTTGTGAACCCAGCTATGTTAGTACTTGTGTGGGTAGTTCCCAGGAACCTGATGTTTTAACATTTTAAAGTTGATATTTGGCTGCTCTGGGTCTTTGTTGCTTTGCGTGGGCTTTCTCTAGTTTCCGGGAGTGAGGGCTACTCTTCCTTGTGGTGCACAGGCTTCTCA